GGGGGGGGGGGCAGGGAGGTGTATGTACATGTGTGTGTCCGTGTGTGTGTATGAATACTTAGCACTCTAGAGTTACTGACTACTTGACAGCAGAGGGAAAGGTACCGACGCACAAGTGTGCCGAGTACCATTTCCCTCTGTTACCCCAATTAGGTAGGGAGTAGAACTCGGCGGGGGGGGGGGTTGGGAGACCTGCCTCAAGTGGGGTGAATTTCCGTTTTTAAGCCCGGCGGCTATCAAATCCGTTTTTTAGCCCGGCGGCTGTGATTGCAAGTTGATGGTATTCCATCGTTTATAGCCCGGCGGCTCGAAACTCCGTTAATTCAGTTATATAAGTGGAAAACGTGGAGTCAGTTATGAAAGTGGAAAACAATGAGTTCCGGCATGGCTTCGGCGCCCCACTGAAGGGGATCACACCCAGCACCCAAGTGGGAAGACTGAGCGGCTCACACTCTGACATTGGTTTTCAGTTAACTCAATTGCCACGATGGGAAGGAAGGTGAAGAACGGTAAGGTGAAGAGTCCGCAAAACTTGTAGATGTTTGAACAAACTGTTTTGAAGTCTGCAGAAATCACTAAATGCACGGTGCAGCTGCAGAAACGCGGTGGAAAAAGTTTGGAGGTAGTATCATGAAACACCATGGAAACAAAAAGCGAGAGTGGACAGCTTGTCAACAGTTGAAGAAAGCAGGTACGTAGTTCTGGCGTCCCAGAACTATGTTACTGTGCGACAGATGCGTCTTCATTGGCTGGAGACATCTGAAGCACACTCCAGCCCCCTGCGTGTAAGCACCCTTCGGAACAGGGGTTGACACACACACGCACATCCAGCAGCCCTGCCAAGCAGTTTTCGCAATCCCGGCCCCTCAAGACCACAGCCGCTGACACACCAATCCTAGTGCCACAGCGACCAAACGTTGCAGCCTCACGATTCCCTGCACCTGCCACGCAAATTCAACTTCAACACATCCAACACGCACAAAGTACTCTGCCTGCCAGGACAAGTGACGACATGACGTTTTCATGTCTTCAGCAAAACTTGCGCCACACCACACGTTTGGAATAATCTTGTCGCTTTCTCACATCCACCAAAATCACAATTCTAGCTGAGACTTGTCACCAGCAAAATCATACTCCACACTTCAACATGTTATGTTCCTACGCTATTTCACACGAATCTGACACTTCAGCCTTTCATCCAAACCTCTTTCTTGCAGCTCCCCCCACTGTCACGGCCTTATCGGTCACATTCCATTGCGAACGGTTGACCGTTGCGCACATGAAAGTGACGTGCTAACATAGCTATCCCCAGACCCCCAGGAATGAACTGGAACCCTTCGCTACACATTAGGGATAAACAATTCGTTCACTGATGAAACAGTGGTCCGACTGCTTCGAGGTTGCACCCTACGCTTGGCCCACATGTTCCGGGTCTGATCCAAAGCCCTGTCACCACCAGCGAGGAGGTGGGCACGGCCGGCACGGCTTGCTGAGTCGGTTTTGCCCTCGCAACAAGCTCTCACACTTGGTAGGTTTGAATATTTTGCTGGAAGGTCGTAAAGCAACTGAAAACTGAGTGAACTCTATCAGAAACAGGGTGGTTTTCTTGCAAATAAACAGAGGCCGAACAGGCTGAACAAATAACTCATGATACAGTAACTTCCTGATTCGGTTCCTCTGTGTGACAATCAGGTACATGAGCTTCTGGATTTTGGCGCCAAGAATCGCGCAGTAGGCAACGAAGGAGTCAAGATTTTTAACATGTTCAGTTCAGATTCTTGCTAAACATGATATGTCTGACACGCAACCGCTCGCACACATTCGCAGTTAAAACAACTAAATAAAGTGCATGAGTTACAGACTCCAGACATTGTTCATTATGAATTCTTTTGATTGCAAGTGCGCTCGTCCTTCGGACTTCCTTGCTAGATGCCTCGTCTGGAAGCTTAAACGCCTCCTCTTGACCTTTATTTGCAATCCCATTTCTTTTTTGCAGACTTTTTTCCTAAGCAGAAGAGTATTGCAAACTGTTTGGCAGGTGCTACAAGCATGAATGCCAACTCTTCGCGATCGCATGCGGTTTTCACGCTGGACATCCGCTTGAGCTACTCTGGGCCTGCGACCCAGCCTCCTCTCCAATGTCAGCATCATGAAGCTGTTCCTGGGAAAAAGAGAAACACTAAGTTGCTACTCGCTAGGCATTTCATCGCCCTCCATGTTCTTCTAAACAGACCCTCATTTCTCACATCCCTTCCTTGCAAAAGCAATCATCGTGGCCTTTGCTTTCCAAATTCCCGTGACGTTGGCAGCTCGTTTGTTGTCTACACGTTTTGTAAACACACATTCTTGAGCTTTTCGGCTCAGGGAGGCGGCCAAAGACTTGCAATCTCGAATTCACTTTGTGGTTGCTTGGAAGAGATTATGCATGAAACTTGTACCACCAGGTGAGATCACTTTCACTGATTGTGTTCTACACCTGATTGGCTACATCAGGTTATATAAGTAAACTGCTCGCTTGAGTACCAAGCAAACATGATTTTGCAGTCCTGTGAGCAGAGCAAATACGTTTGCAGTTTGCAGATGGGTGTTCTAAGGACTTAGCCGGTAGTGAAAAGCAGAAGAAGACCAATGCAACTGGAGAACGGCTGCAGGCAAGTTTTTTTTTTTTTTTTTAATATATATATATATATATATTTATTATTATTATTATGTTTCATTTTTTAAACTTCTTTCTCTATACATGTGCATACATACACACAGGTTTGATCATAGTGATTGGACTGAAGATGAACCGTGGTGCTAAAGCAAGAGAAAAGAGAAGAACATGAGGACCCCGTCGACTCCTTTAAAGGGACCTTATGAAAGGGACCCTTACCGTGTTTTTTTAGTTATTATATGTTTTTGGCCTTTCGGGGTTTCTGTTGCAGTTCCATGAGATTCCTGTTGCAAAGCAGGAAGGTATTGCCATCAACCAGTCGCTGTCCTCCTTGAGCCGGGTCATCCAGGCACTCAGATGAGGGACACGGAACGTGTTTGCACCATGCCAAAGCTTATGTGTGGCACCAACATATTTCGAGCACAAGACATTCCACATCAGGCACTCGTTTAATCTCTTTCCTAATCTAAAGAAACTGTCCTGCATGTTCTCTATCAATGCTTTCTTTGCACTATGTACTCTGGCCATGAAGCTTGGAACCTGCTTGACTTGTGTATCACTGGGCAGTTGACCAGATCATTACTGTTAGCATTGTGCACATTGCTTTTGAATAGTCCTTCTTGTCCTTCTCCAGGCGTTGTCAGGGAGCAGTGGAATCCAACCAGTCTTCCGGGAGTCGAAGTTGACGATGCTCTTGAAGGATGGGCCGCACATGTGGCATCGGATGAGATAGTGTAAATCCGATACCACAGGTTTATGCAGGTTTCATATTGTAAAGATGTGCTATGCCCTGTTAGGCATTGTCTTGTTACCAAAGCCGGCCACCTGGCATTACTTCATGCACGCGCAATCTACTCTGTGGTGACTAGTTGTTGGTAAGACTTCAGCCTTGCTGTAAGACTGTAGGATGACATGATATGCATCTACTAGCAACAAGAAGGTACTAGGTTGGAGGCCATCGCTATTAAGTTGGAGGCCATTGCTACTAGTAGCAAGGGCCAGTACGAGTAGCAAAGGGCATCGATGAGAAGCTTTGCTCTCAGGAGGCCCTAAGTGGCAACAGCCGCACTGCGAGATCCTTGGTGACGCTCTTGAGTCGCGAGAACGAAGACTGGGAAGACTATGACACTACAGAAAGAACCTGCACAGACAGAGAATCTGCATTGTATGCTTACAGAAACATGAACGGAAACGCTTACAGATCCAAAAAAGCACCTCAAACAGCACGCGTACAGTTGGCCAACTCTTCGGTGAACCGGACTTCAAAACGGAGCTGTTATCCGTTTGGATTGCAGGTGCTGTTGGCTTGCATCAGTCCCTCGCGAAGCAACCATGAGGAAACCATCAGCACTTTGGAGTTTGCTGTCCCGACTCTCAGCGACGACTTTACAAAGTTGATTGAAGCTGACTTTGTGAAATCGAGAGCAAGATGCATGATTAGATCATATTAGATTCCCAGATATATATTTCAATTTCGTTTTAGAATCTCATAGATCTGGCAGCGGAAAGCCCGGCAAGTGACAAATGATTCAAGGCACGTTGCAAGCTCATAAAGACCAATGCCACGAAGAACGAGCAGGAACCTGCTTTCTTGGTTTTATCTTTCATGAGCATAGCGTTCTTTTTTCGAAGGTTGTAAGCTGCCTGACAGCAAGCAACAACAGCCGCAAAAGACAAGCAGGTTTCGTGTCTCACTTCTGAAACATTCCCTGCCATTCCTTGTTTTTTGCGCTTCAGGACAAGCGTGAATTGTTGGAAACCCTATCCAAAGACAAGCAGGAAATTGAGCGTCGCCTGGAGGTGCGCACCGTTTGGAAACCCGTCGAAGACTTCGTTGCTGCTCTCTATGTGTTGTTTTTGTCTCCATCCGCAACAACTTCAGGATCATTCTGGTATGGTTTTGCAGATGCATATTCAGGTCGCTTCGCGACAACAACCGCCGGCACCAGTGGCTCTCAGAGAGGGGGCAAAAGGAGTATCTATAATCACTCTATTTTTGCATTCTTTGATACACTGTTCATTCATTCCTTACTTGCATGTTGCAGGCATTGTTGGATCTATTTTTTGACCTCCTTGGAGTTGTACATGTTCCAGGGTGCGAGAAATGGAGTGATGATGTACTATAAACTTTACAATCTGTATGATCGAGACAAGACTTAGAGATGAACGCAGCAAGAAGTGTTTGAGTAAGAAAAGAGAAGTGCCATAATCACGGTAGTTTTGAACCCTCTTACAATTTCTTTAACTTTAGTTATGTCTCTCCATACTCTGTATTTTTGGACCCTCCTTACAACTTGTTGGGGCTATTGAACTTTGATATTTTGCGACCTGAAATTGTACATTTTTCAAGAGGTCCAAATTGTACTATTCTGCAGGCATTTTGTGCAATAAACTATACACTTGCAACCAGCTGACGCATATGCTACCGTAAAAAGCGATGCAATTACAACTAGCTGATGCAAATGATGAAGTCATGAAACATGTCTTCAGACATATATATATATATAGACTGTTGAAAGGAATAATTCGTTTCTTTTTCATGGACTTGGTGATGCAAATGATACGATGATGAGAAATACACCCCCAATGTATTTGTCAATGTGTTCTCCCACTACCACTCCTCTCCCAGACACATCTTATGATACAGAATATGCATTTTCGTTCCCGAACGAACATGCACCCGCCTAGCTAAAGCTAGCGTTCACGGGTAGTCACAGTTTAGCGCCTCAGCACCTTCGGCGCGGGAAGATTTAGATTCAATTCCGTCATTGCTGGCTTCTGGGTCAAGGTGGCTACGGGAACGGGTGAGGCCAAACTTTCGAACTTGCGGCCAGGAGGAAAGGCAACGCAACAAACTTTTGCTGCAAGAGATGGAACGAAGAATAGCGGAAGCTAAGAGAGATCAGGTGCGACAGGGCATGATGGTTTCTGGACATTTATTTTTATTGTCTTTCCTTTTCTTGTTTTGTCTTGTTTTTTGTTTGTTTGTTTGTTTGTTCGTTCTCAAAGCTCGCACCAGGAGCTTGCTCGACAAATGCAAGAGGAGAAACGAGAGATTGAGGAGAAGTTGCAAGCTTACCTGAAGTGCTTTGGCATGGACTGGGTGGGGTGAGCAATGTTCTTGACGGAATTGTAGACTAGTGACTAGCCATGAATGTGCCCATGCTTGTGGATCCCGTGCAAAAGTCTGAGCTCACCAGTAAATTCCCATCATTGTCCTGCAATGCTGCAGGGGTGAGCACGAGCGCGGGAAAGAACAACAGGTGGAGGCTGCTGGCTGGCGGTATGTATGGGGAACTGAAGGCATAACTATATATCACATCTTTTGAATTTCATTTTCAGCCTTCGCGTGCTTCTTTTGGAATGGGCATACCAAGAAGGCCTTGCGGTAATCTTGAGACATATATGCACATGTCACAGCAGAAGTGAAGTGGAGGTGGCGCAACAGCTGAAAGGGAAGAATGAGGCTGTGCAGCAGCAAGGGGTACAGAGAGTCGTGATGTTTCTAGATGGTGATGTGTTGCTGCTGGTGGCCATCAAGAGCCTATTGCCATCTACCCACTCAAACGTGTCGCTCACAATATCAAAAAGACGGCAGGAGGAAGTAGCAAGAGTTTGTAGAAGATGCGGGCAGGAAAGACTGCTAGTTCGGCTATTTCTGCCAATTCTTGATGTTTGCACCGTTCGTCAAAGACAGCGGATGACCTTCTCCGTTGGCCACTTTCTGTCAGGCTGAGCGGGAAAGCCCTGCGGACGCTGCGAAGGTGTGAAAAGACTGTCGGACCAACTGGCATCGGCTGTCGCACATCGAAGGGGCAGACATGCAAGATGTTTGGAATCAGTTTCAACCTGCAACTAGGGGCCGCCCTTTCAGCAACTTGCAGTCGCGTGGAAAATGTGCTGGCCAAGCGTATTGAAAACTCAACACCACTGAAAGAAGTGCGCTCCTGCTTTGTAGATGGGTGTTGGATACCACACTAACACTGAGACGCGTTGCAGCCTGTGGCCAGCAGACCTTCTTGACTCTCTCTCTCTCTCTATTCTCTTCTTCCAAGCACTGAGTTTGAGCAGACATTGATTGAAAGCTTGCACGTTCTTCAGAGACAGAGTAGATATATATAGTAATATCAGTTGGCCACAGGAAGCACCACGAGAAAGCCCTGGAACAGATGCCGAGCAGGAGTGAGATCTCAGAGAGGGGGAAACTTCTTTGACATAGCAAGCGAATTTGTGTTTAGGCAGCAAAGAGTCATTGTGGCCGCAAGGAGCAGTTGTGCATTAGTGCCCGGGCAAACATGTACTCCTAAGATCTTTGCGATGCCGACCCACACGCTAGGGAACGTGGACGAAAAATGTGACCCATTGGCGATCAAGTGGCACAAGTGGGCCGGATAATGGAAAAAATGCAACGGACGTTGTCCAACCATCCTAGAAGTAGAGCTTCAATGGCGGAATCTTTCATGCAGTTCAAAAAGGACTGACTCCATGAAAAATCCACGGATCGAACAATCAGAAATGCAGACGACTTCGACCGACTGAAACAGGCCCTGAGTCGAAGTGGAAATCGTAAGCAAATCAACATGTTACACACAAACGTAAAACCGCCGTCCCAGAGTCATCTCACTGTGCAACAGATGCATTTTCGTTGGCTCATCAGCCAACACTTAGAAAGAAGCAAAGCCACTGCCCAATCAAATTCGTGAATCTAGGGGCCCATATACATAAGTGTTGCAGCCCGCAGCCACAGGCTATACAATTTCAATCAATTTCCTGTCTCCTGTTTGAGACCCAGAATTAACAGAAGATAACAGAAGTATTGAGAGCTTGTGGAAAATGAGGGCCACCTTTTAAAGTTTGCGCAACTTTCTGGCAGGTTGAGAAAAAGGAGCCGCAGGAAGGACCGCCGGAAAGCCTTGCAAGTGCCGCGGAGAAGGAGTGACATCGGAGGAACTCTTTGGACAGGATTCCAGCATGGCAACAAAACACATAGAGCTTTGGGAGGGCAAACAATTTCACAGCAAAGAATCACCTTGGGCGCAAAGAGCAGTTGTGCACCAGTGACAGGCAATTGTGCAAGCAAGACCGATGTGAGTTTTGACCCACATGCTGGGGAAAGAGTGGACTGAACATGTGACGACATGGGTGTTTTTGCCGCAGAAGTCCTGTTTTTGCTTGAGACGTTTGAGAAGCAGACACAACACGAGTTTGTGAAAGAATGTGAAAGACAACGACATGTATTTACTACAGTAGATGGACCACATATTCAAACCCATGTATCAATAACTGTCGCCAACCCCTGACCCCCAAAGGTCAATGTTGAACATAACTTGATTGAATTTGTGTTTCCAGGGTTTGATTTGTTTCGTCCATTCGCGGAAACATTCTTGCAAGACCTCTAACATTGAGCTTTGGGGTAGAAGGGGTCCACGTGTTGAAAGGGTTTGAATATTTCGTCCATCTACGGTACTGGGTGTGGACGGCGACCGGAGACCTACAGACGCACATGCGTGTGTTGTTTTCAAGTGATGCCGGGCGGCTCCAGCTACTGTTCTTACTGTTGCCATGTGCCGTGTCTGTTCCCAGTCCCTTTCCAGTGCCTTTCCAGTGCCTTTTCCAGTGCCTTTTGCACTTTCTCGTGGCCCTGCCAGCAAAAATGTGCTTCTGGTAAGTTTTGTTGAAGCAAAAAGATAAGCTATCTCTTTTTAGCAAAAAAGTGAGTCACATGGCAAAATCACTGGCAGGCGCACACAAGCCGTGAAAAGGCACTGGAAAAGGCACTGGAAAGGCACTGGGAACAGACACGGCACATGGCAACAGTAAGAACAGTATCTTCATCTGGCTTGCTTTCCTGACGTCTGCTGTCCTCGCTCGCAACGCGTCGATGTGAAAGTGTTGTTGAGCACAGAAGACTAAAACACAGTACTACGGATGAAGATGTTAGACTTGATACTTACGAGCCAAAAACACGCAAGCGTCACAGCTTTAGACAGTAGATGGACCAAATATTCAAACCCATGTATCAATAACTGTCGCCAACCCCTGACCTCCAAAGGTCAATGTTGAACATAACTTGATTGAACTGAACTTGTGTTTCCAGGGCTTGATTTGTTTCGTCCGTTCGCCGAAACATTCTTGCAAGACCTCTAACATTGAGCTTTGGGATAGAAGGGGTCCACGTGGTTGAAAGGGCTTGAATATTTCGTCCATCTACGGTAGTATTAAGTCTGCCTAGTTCCTTTGAGGAACATCACTGCAGTTTTGTGTTATCCGGCAGGTTGAGCAGACAGAAAGGCAGGCACTGCAGGAAAGCCCTCCCGACGGCGAGAAGGTGCGAGATCCGGAGGACATCTCTTTGGACATAGCGGTCGAGCTTTGGACGAAAAGCGAGATCTACGAGTTGCGTTGCGTGGCGTGACATGTCGGTGTCGGAACACGCGGACCTCGCCGTGAGATCTCTGGCGTCGTAGTTTGTGGTCCCGTGGTCCGGTTTTCGAACTTCCAGGTTTCGATCACATGAGACTTGATTTTTAGAACGCAGATCTCCCTGCTCTCGAGGTGTTGGGTTTGCTTGCCGCTTTCTCTCTTTGAGAAGGGTGTGGCCTAAAAGATGGAACCCGAAAAAACTTCAACATGGCCCTCGTTATTCCAAGCAGACCCAAATCACTTACATACTTATTACATACTTTCGCACCGACACGGTGTTCGACAGCTTGCTTGAGCATGTCGCAGCACGCTTCAGCAATTCTTTCTTTTGGACGCTTTCATTTCAGTTGCTGATGACAAACAGCACTGCAGTAGAGTTCAGGAAAAGCGTTTGGATTCCTGAAAGACCTCCGAAAGGGATCGGGGGTGCACCAGGACAAGATGTTGCAAGAAAGTCAGGAGCAAGACGCCCAGAGCAGTTGTTATTTGTCCAATTTCTGGCGTTGATGAGGTCACGAGGTGTTGTTTATTGTTAGAGTCAGAATTGAAGTCAAATCATCTCCATGCCCCTGCTGCCCGATGCTATGAGCCATTAGTTTTCAGGGCAACTATCTGTCCACCGACAGTGATTGCTTGGGACAAGGCGAGAAAACTTGGCACAATCGGAGTTGGAAGAACTTAAAGTGTCTTGGCACGCACAAAGAGCAGAGCATCCAGGCTGACTATGAACACATGCCCGTATCGGGAGACAAAGCTCAAGAAACCATGAGAGCCAGCCAAGATAGCTAAGATAGCTGAGTCACTAAGGGCATGGATTCCGCAAACCACTCGCTCATTGCTTTCCCTAAATCCACCCTGCTCATTTAGGCATCGTGCTCTTCTCCATTCATCTCTTGTCGTTTGAGAGCTAATGGGATGCAAAAAAATCAATTGCCACATTCGATTTGAATACAATACATTGAAATGCAGTTCTGCTACGCAGGTGGGAATTCTATTTGAATCCAAGATTGAAGACCTCTAATGCCTCTAATGCAAACCCCGGATTAATAAACCGGCCCCCCCCCGCACGTGGAAGGTCTAGAAGGTCTAGAAGGTCTAGAAGGTCTGAGGTACGATTCATGAGGTCCACCTCCCCAGGGAGTAGAGGTAGCGGTAGTAGTGGAAGTAGTGGAAGTAGTCGTAGTAGTAGTAGTAGTAGTAGTAGTAGTAGTAGAGGAAAAATTGACCTGGTTGTGGGCTCGGTTTAATTGGGGGGGTTGTAGGTGACAAGTACATTATTAGGGGGGGAATTTAGCTCCAATACTACTTTCAATTTGGGTGAATTTTCGGGGTTGTGTGGGCTCGGTTTAACTAGGGGGGGGTTATTAATCCTACCTTTGCATTAACCACTTCTCCTCTTCCTCTGTTTTTCTTTCAATTTTCTCTTTGCAAAGCGATTGTGGATTCGTTTGATCCCAGCATTGCACTGTGGTTGTGATCTCGGATCAATAAAAGAAAGACAGCGTCAAAACAGACGCTTAACGATTGCACACTTTGCCAATTGTCACGACGGTGAACCAGCCTGCTCGAGTCCCACAAGAGTTCCCTCCAAAGCCACACTGGTCCTTTACCCATGCCAAGAGCACTCTCAAGTCACGTCCGCATCCTTTGAGTCACAGGCAAGTCAGCAGAAAGAGCTAGAGCAACTCCAGCAGACAAAGGCCAGCAGCCCTGGTTAGCTGCTACAGCTCACTTTGCATGGATTGCTGATTGCTTGTGAAGACACTTGCACCAACAGTCCTGCTGTTGTACTATGCACTTTGGTTTTGGACCATGAGGCCTTTCCTTGTCTCAGCTTTGC